CCTTGTCTTGGGCCCTCCTTCCACTGCCTAATGACCTCCATAGCTCCACACCCTCTCTGACTCCCTGTGGGGACCTGAGGGCTCTCGGCTACAGCTGAACTTCCGAGCCACGCAGCCTTTGAATGGGCGAACGATCGAGGCCTCCTTCCCTACTGGAGCGGAGCGGACTGTTGAGACTGTTCAGCCAGGTACGGCTTTGTCTGTTCCCCATGTCCCTGCTGCCCAGCCCAGGTCCCTCATCCTCCCCTGTGCCCTCATTTGTCTGTCGCTGGAGGTCACAGGCCCGGCTCTAATGTCTCCCTTTTCTCTTCAGTCCACCTGAACTCCTGCCTCGCTGCTGGTGAGTCTGCCCCTCTCCCCTGGCTCCTGATGCTGGGGACAGCCCTTGGCACAGTTTAGTCCCAGGGACTGGTCAGAACCACGTCTACTGCCCTTCCTTTTCTGCAGAACAGACCTCCAAAGCCAACAGGATAGTGTCAGATCATGGTGGGGGGTCCTTTATTGTCCCCCACGGCAAGAGTTGTTCAGAATGAAGCTCCAAAAATCTAACATGTCTTTTTCCCAGACGACCTCTTCGACTTCATTTTTAGGGAGGAAAAAAGGTGCTTATTTCCCCCCCTTCTTGCGTATCCATCTCCATCCCTTTGCTGGTCTCTTGTAGATTCTGATATGCTGGGGGCAGCTGGAGAACTTAGGGCTGGGTTGGGGATACAGGCATAGGGAAGTAGGCCCTGAGGGGACCCTACTGGCTCTCACACCCTGAGGCAGTCTCCCCTCTCCCTACAGGTGACATCCTGGCCCTGGTCTTTGGCATTCTCTTTGCTGTGACCAGCCTTGCCTTCCTTGTGCAAATGAAAAGGCAGCAAAAGTATGTACTGTACTGACCCTGTCCCTCAGGCACAACCCCCACTTCCTGTGTGGAGTCCAGAACAGCTTCATGCAAATTGCACAAATGAGCTGGTCCTGGGCCAGATTTCTGATTAGGCTTCCCTGTCGTGTAGACATCCAAGTGGGACCAAAGGGGCCGTTAGCTACCATCCAGCAGAGGTCACGGAGACTGTGGCCTAGAGGCCTGGAACTTGGAGAATGTGCAGAGAAGCCAGCCAGAGGAATCTGAGAGGAGCTGGAGACTTTGGTCTGTCCTGCCTCTTACACCACTTCCTTTTTAGTCACCAAAGATTTTTAAAAAAATAAATGTTTCTAATAAAATATGTGGAAGGTAGCTTTGTTCCCCAAATCAGGATAGTGTATCCATTCCCTACTGCTGCTATAACAAAGTATCACCATCTCAATGGCAATGCGAATTTATTCCCTTAGACTTCTGGAGGTGAGAAGTCCAAAATGAATCTTAAGGACTAACGTCCAGGTGTTGGCAGGCCTGGACATTGATCAGAGTGTTTCCCTGCCCTTTTCAGCTTCTGGAAGCCACACATTCCTTGGCTTGTGGCCCCTGCATCACATTGCGCCACTGTCACATCTCCCGCATCCACTCTTGACCTTTGTGCCTCCCTCTTCTAAGGACCCTGGTGGTTACATCGGGCCTATTCAGATAACCCAGGATGACCGCCCCATCTCAAACATCTTAGCTGACTCACAAGGTCCCTTTCCCATGCAAAGTCACATTTCACAACATCTTTGGTGGTGGGGGGTCATCTGCTATCAGGAAGGGGGCAGAAATCACTGAGATTGTTGAAATGGTCGTGTGTGTGTGCACACATGCACATGTATGTGTATGTAGGCCAGTGTGTGTAACTGGGAGTGGGCAGGCTCAGCGTCTAGGCTTAAAATCACATTGAGGCTTTGGGGCTTTCTCCTGCTCAAGTAAAATCTGTGTAGCTTTGCAGTTTTGTCTTCAGCTTATGTTGCCGGGCTCAGGCACCTGCTGGAATGGGGCAGTGGTGCTGACAGCAGCTCCTTTGCCCTTTGGGGAGTCAAGGCCAGAATGTAACCCCAGCCCTCTGGGCCTCTCTGCTCCACACAGCCTGGTCGCCGCCCCTCCTAAATGAGCGGACACCACCCCCCCCCTCCCCTGCCCCCATCAAAAAGGAAGTCTCATCATAAAGCATAGACCCAGGCCCTGCTCCTCAGGGTCCCTTCCGACTCCATTGCTCCCCTCAGGCATCATCTCAGCCTTCTCCACGTTGGAAAACTACCACCACCACTGCCAACACCAAAGAGAGGCTGAGAGGGCCCTGTGATGCCAGTAACATGTTTTATTGGGTTGGGGCGGCAACTGTAGCCTGGCTGGAGGCAGGGCCAACCCTCACAGGTTGTTGAGTTCCAGCAGGGTCTGGTCGAGGGTCTGGTGAATCTCCACGTTCTCCTCCTTGGCACTGGCCAAGGTCTCTGTGAGAGGAAGCAGCACATGAGGAGGGGGAGGGGAGACACTAGGGGACAGACGTGGGGAGCATGGACAGGGGGTGTGACAGACAGACATGGAGTGGGTTGGAGGCACATGAAGACACAGCATTCAGGGGTCTGGGGACCCCATGGTAGGGGGAAATGGATGAACTGACCAGAACAGACATGGATACCTCACTCAAGACTCTGGGGTCATGGAGGTGGGATGGGAAGGCCTAAGTCATAAACTAATTTACCATTCTTCTTGAGAAGCTTTAAGAGAGTTGGAAACAGAAGGAAGGACCAAGACTGAGCCAGGAAAGAGAGGGATAGACAGACAGACAGACTTGAGGCAGAAAACAGACCTGCAGTGAAAACCCCACGTTGCTGGCATCCAACGTTTTTCCAATCTTCATCTCAGACCTTTGACAACCTTCTTACCCCTCCCCTCACCACCCAATCTCCCTTCCAGTCATTCCTTGAGATCCTGGAAGCCCAGCTCAGCGCTCCAAGGTCAGTGACAGGCCGGGGTCTGCAGAGGCACCGGAGAGCGCAGGGTGATGGACGGAGTCATACCATGCCCACATGCAGCAGTGACAGTGACAGACTGTGCGTGCCATGCAGAGGGGGTCCTGGTGTGGGCCACAGAGTTTTGTGGGTGTCACAAGATTGGGGTGTCTGTAAGAGCCAAGGTCTCAGCAGTGCTCTTGTGGGGGAAAAGGAAGGAAGTGCTCTCTGGAGGACAGGAAAACAGCACGGAGACCAAGTTGAGTTTATTAAGCAGCAGAGAGAGGTAGAGGCCGGAGGGTGGAGGGTGGAGTGACGGGTAGAAGGAAGAAGCAAGTGCCAGGGTGGGCAGCACGTGAGATGGGTGCTCTCCCAGGCTGTGCCCAGCCTGGCTCTGCAGTGTTGGCAACTTTTCTCCTCCTGCCTGATCCCTCCTCAGAGAGAGAGAGTAGAAACGAGAGGAGAGGAGGGGCCGAGGGGGCCACGCTGGTGAGGGGCTCAGAGAGAGGTGATGTCATTGAGTGCGTTGTCCAGCTCCTCGCTGATGGCCTTGTACTTCATCTTCTGCGCATAGACTTCGTCTGGAGGGGGTCCAGGGACGGATGGGAGTGTGGGGAGAGGGAATAGAGGGGAAGAGGAAAGGCAGGAGAGAGGATAATGGAAAGAGAACAAGAATCAGAGAGAGGTGGGCAAAGACGAGTGAGAGACAGAGGCCAGAGAGCAGGCTGGTCAGTCCTCAGGGCTCCCTCCCTTCTCTGTACCCCTGTCTCTCTTGTCCTTCTCTGTACCCTAAGTTGGTTCTTCTGCCAGGAGTTGCTGCCTCCTCTGGGGACCTGGGGGCACAGTGCTTTTTGATAAGCAGGAGTGCTCGCTTCAAGTGAAGAGAGTTCAAGCCAGAAAGACCTAAAGTCTTGCAAAGTTGGAGATAAAACAGAGGCTTGCCTGAGAAGGCGGGACACACGGGAAACTGGAGTTATGAAAGTGAAGGGTTATCGCACAATCGGAAGGAAAGTCAGTCCTAGGCACGATGTTGGTGACAGTGGGAGATAGCCATAGACTAGCAAATACCTGCAGGATTGTTGACACCAAATCTAGCTTAAAATAGTACTTGACATCAGTGTTGTCTTGCAAACCTAGATGTTCAACCAAATAGCTCTCTAGGTCACAAAGAAGTCCCTGTGATAGGGCTCCCCTGTGTTGCACTCGGAGACAGACTTGTCTAAATCAGTGCTGCCCAAAGTGTGGTCCGAGGACCGAGCAGCAGCGTCTGCTTTCCCAGAAAGCTTGTGAGACGTACAGATTCTCCAGCCCAAAGTCAGCAGTCATTTCGGAGCAGGACCCAGAAATCTGCCTTTTAAAACCTCTGGGGGATGCTCAAGTTTAAGAAGCACTGGAGGTGTCGCCAGTTACGGGTGCTTAAACGGCAGGCACCGAGCACGAGTGTGTGGAGTCTTAGGCGGTACAGCCCTAGTTTATCGGTCACAGATACTGTATAATGGGATGCGAAGAAAAGGGGTGAGCTCACAGTCACAGGGAGTGCGGTTTGGGGGTGGAGGGGCGGCCTCCGTTACCTTCCAGGTCATCGATGGTTTTCTCCAGCTTCGCCACAGACCTTTCGGCAAACTCTGCTCGGGTCTCAGCCTGGGAGTAAAGGCAAGATGCAGAAATGACCCCAAAATGAGGCCCTTCCAGACACTATCACTTAAGCCAACCTTTTCTTCTATCCCGGTCTCCAGAGTCCCCGCTACAGACAGCCTCTGCTAGGGACTGTGGGGCTGGATGGGAAGGGGGAGCTGGAAGGACTCTCACCTCTTTTAGCTTCTCCTCCAGCAGTTTGATCTCCTCTTCATATTTATCTTCTTTGGTGGAGTACTTTTAGGGACATACACAGGCCATTAGTATATTGCCTCCACAAATCTTTCATTTCTCCTGAGCCCCGCAGGCTACTCATGATCTTGTCTCCACGGACCATCCAGCCCCCCACTGCCTGGGCCCATCGCCGCCCTCCCCTGCAGGACCCCATCCTCGCTGCCCCTCTACCCCCCTCTACCTTGTCTGCTTGGGCTTCCAGGGATTTCAAGTTGTTGGTAACAATTTTCAGCTCCTCCTCTAGGTCCCCACATTTACTGCAGGGGATGTGTAGCAGGGTGGGGTGTGAGGGCACAGTGGGGGAAACAGTGGAGGTGGCACAGTGGGGGAGGGGGAGGAGAGAAGAGAAGAGCAAAGTTGTGAGAGTGACAGCAGGCAGCGTTCCGAGGCCCCAGGCCCTCCCCGACCCCCAGCAGACGAGAGAGAGCAGCCTGAGATGGAGGGGAAGGTGAGATGAGAGAAGGCGCTATTGCCCAGAAAGGTCCAGAGAGGTCACTACCTCCTCCTCTGAGGCCATCAGGGACTTGAGGGCCTGGTCCATGGTTCGAAGTTCCTCCTCCAGCTGCCTGGCTCGGCTGGGGGCAGCAGGTAGGGGTCAGAGGACAGGACCTGTCCCTATGGCCCCCAGCCTGAGAAACTGCTTTCCCACTGTGCAGAGTGCCCCGTAGTCACCGGCTCAGGCTAAGTTTCACTCCCACCCCAGGGTAACCTTACCTCTCAGCCACCTCAGCTCTTTCTTCTGAGCGCTCCAGCTCTCCTTCCAGGATCACCAGCTTCCTGGCCACCTGAGGTCAGGCAGGAGAGAGAAGGCATAGGTCCCTGGTGAATGACTAGGGGTGTGTGGAGCGTGGGAGTGAGAGGAAGTGGAGCGGGGCTGTCACCTCCTCATATTTGCGATCTGAATCCTCAGCGATGTGCTTGGCCTCCTTCAGCTGCATCTCCTGCAGCTCCATCTTTTCCTCATCCTTCATGGCTCGGTTTTCAATGACCTTCATTCCTCTGTGAGGCAGAGAGAGGGGTGAGGGTGGGGTCAGGACCAGCAGAGAGAGCACCCCCCTTCCCTGGCTCCACCCTGAGGACCCCCTGCCCACCTCTCGCTCTCATCAGCTGCCTTCTCAGCCTCCTCCAGCTTTTGCAGGGCTGTAGCGAGGCGCTCCTGCGCCCGGTCCAGCTCCTCCTCTACCAGCTGAATGCGGCGGTTCAGGGAGGCCACATCTGCCTCGGCCTATGGGTCAAAGGTGAGAGATCAGACAGGCTTTGTCTACCGTGGATGAGGATCAGGGAGGCTCCAGAGAATGGTAAGATTCTTATTAGAGAGAACCTAGGCTTCCTGTCTTCCTATTTTTTACCCTCTAACCAACCATCTATCTTCTGCCCAGACTCTATGCTCCCGCCCCAAATACGCATTCCTCGACAAGCTCCACTCTCTGCTACAGGGCCAGTGCAGGCACTGAGCATCGTTAGGCATGCCGCTCTGTCCCCTCAGAGAACACTCCAAGTGCTGGGACCAGGTCTGAGGCAGCCCTGACTCCACAGCAAGGCCGGTCAAGGTAAGGGAGTGGGGAAGAATCAGGCCAACTTAACAGCAATGCTGCCAAAAACAGCCAATCATAGAATCAAGATCAAGTGATGTCACCAGTTGCCAGGCAGACTCCCAGCAAGGGGCTCCGGAGGAAAGCCGGACCAGTATGGGGACACCAGGGCTGTAGCAAGGGGTTCCCTGGCAAGATGAGGAGGCAACTGGGGGCAGTGCAAGGGCAGCGTGAGTGACGGATACTCGGACACCGATCCTAAAATGCACAGGCAAAACGTGGAGGTTCTGGAGAAGGTCCAGGGAAACTGCTGGTATCTTGAGGAAAAGCGAGGGCAGAGCAAGCAGGAAGGGCTCCAACAAAAGAAAACGAGAGAAGCAGTCTAGTTTGGAATTAAGTATCGGCTCTGAGTTAGACTGTTCTCTTTGAGCCGCGGCCCAGCCACTCAACACTTGTGTGATCTTGGGCAACTTATTTAGTCTCTCTAAGCCTCAGTTTTCTCCTTTTAAAATCCGAGTTGACAATAGCAGATTCCTTCTTCAGAGACTGTTAATCAACAGGACAATTGGGGATTATATAACGAAACAGGTTCTCTAGCTCCTTGCTAGATCCACTAAACTGAGATCTCCAGCGAAGGAACTTGAAAATCCTATTTTTATTTTATTTTTTTTAAGGCTCCTAAGCAATTCTGATGATTTGGGGAAATAAAATAATATGCAAAAAGCACGTGAACACGTTGCCCGCAGAGTCCACACGCCATAAATGTTAGTTATCCCTGGTGCTTCCTCAGACACAAAGACAGAGGGACCCAGAGATTTAAGACTGGAGAGGAGAAAGGATCAGTGTAGGGGAAGAAGTGGGAGGGGAGAGGGGGTGCAGCACTGGGGACAGGGGGGGAAGAAAGCAGGCCCTGTTACGAGGGCGAGGGAAACAGCACCGTATATAGAAAGTAGTAGCTTGTCCTCCAGGTGCTGAAGGCCACCTACAGTGACAGGAGCCCATTGTGGGCACAGGGCCCGATGACTCAAGGCGGAAGGACTCTGGGAACAGCACTGGGGGTTGGGAAGCATGACATTGGGGTGGGGGGGGCGACTCTAGAGAGAGATGAGACTGTGAAAGGAAAACGCTTCATGATAGTGGGGTGACAGACAACTCTGGGAAGTCCTGGGGTCCTCGTGACAGGACGGACATTTACCATTTTCTGCTTTTCAAGCTCTTGGTTATGGATGCTGCTTTCTAACAACAGACAGGCACTACTGTCGCCATTGGACAAATAGGGAGCAGGAAAGAAGGGAGAAATGGAGGAAGGAACTGTGTAAGTCACGTGTGGTGTTCAAGGTCACAAAATAAGTTTGGGCAGTTTCCTTTCTCCTCCTGGCACTGCTGCCCAGCTTCCCCAGCTCTGTCCCTGTCCACCCTCCTTCCCTCCAGCCCCCACCCAGCTCCTTGAGTTTCCAGTCCTGCCTCCAGCTGCACTGGGCCTTGGTTATTTATAGAGTATCAGATGCCCAGGGTTGTCTTTGCGAGCAGCTGCGGGTCAGTTCCCTCCCAAGTGCCAAGGCTGGTGGAGAACCAAAACCAAAGGTTGGAGGTCAGGGTGGGCATGGGGGGAGGGAATTGGGAAACATGGATCATGGTCAACACAAAGGGTAATGCCATCTCTGATCTCCCATTCAGACCATGCTTATGCTAATCCCCCATCCCACCAACACATCCGTAGGCTCATCTTAAACTTAGAACAATCCTGGGTACAAGGCAAATGGGGAAACTGAGGCAGAGAATGGTACAAGTAACTATGTCCAAAGACTTACAGCTATTCTCTTACCTCAAGGTGGGGGTTGGGAATGACAGGGGTAGAGCAGTCTGGTTAGAGAGTGTGGGGTGGGCAGAGACATCTGAGTGAGCAAGGCCTGCCAAAGCAGCTGCCCTGGCATTTGTGGCCCTGTCCCTTTGCCCTGTGGCCTGGCATGGTCTCGAGGCTGACAACTTAATGAGGGTAAATAAGGGGCCCCAGTGCCCAGCAGGGCTACCGGAGCCAGAGGTCAGGGCCAGGGAATTTCTAATGCCCCCCCAGGAGTGTAACCCAAGTCAGGGCCCACTTTCAGATTCCTCTCTCCCCGCCTGCCTAACAGCACCTAGACCCACACCCCACCAGTGTAGCTGTAGTCTCCTCTCCATTTTCAGCTGCAGGATTAATGGAGGCGGATGGCGAATTCTTGTACCACCCACCCCCACGATGACTCACTGTTTGATCACTGTACGTCGTCGAAAGAGCTGGAGCCAAAAGGAATTACAAGGCCCCGTCCTCTGGGGGAAGTGGTAGGTGGTTTTGATTTACCCACTGCCTGGGATTATGATTATTTGTGCAAGCTTGCCCTGGCCCGGGTTCCTGAGGGAAACATTTCTGTCCTGGTGCTGGGATATATAGGTCCCCTCTCCCTTCATTCCCATGTCCAGGACCCCTCCCCCCGCCCCCAGGTCCACACTCACATCGGTGGCCTTCTTCTCGGCCAGCTCCAGTTTCTCCTGGGCGTCCTTCACGGCCTCTGAATACTTTTCCACCTCATCCTCCGTCCCTTTCAGCTTCTTCTGGAGGGCCTGCTGTTCCTCCTCCAGCTGCAGAGAGAGTGCTGGTCAGCCAGGCCCAGGCGCGGGGGAGGCAGGGGTGTGTGAGGGGGTACTAAGATAATTTAGAGGCTGTCAGGGAGGAAGAGGGATAGCAGAGGAGAAACAGTGCAGCCAGGAGAGCTGAGGGGGGTGTGTGTGTTAGAGAGAGTTTCCAGTCCCAAGAAGCAGGGCTCATCATTGTTCTTCAAGGGCAGGCGTGGGAATTGGGGGACGGTGGGTCCCGGGGCTCTGGTGGGTAGGATGGTCTGGTTCTGGCTAGGTCCCTAGGGGTCCTATGAAGGTGCACCGGACGGGAAGAGAGCCTCAGAGAGCAGTCCCTAGGATAAGGGACACGGGGCAGAGCTATCCCACCCTCGCTGGGGGCGGGGGGTCTGGGGTCCCCACCTGCTTGCAGCGGTCCTCAGCCTGCTTCTTGTCGGCCTCGGCCTGCTCAGCGCGGTCGATGGCGTTCTCCTTGTCCAGCTTGAGCATCTGCATCTTCTTCTTTATGGCGTCCATGGCTGCGGTGGGGACGGCCGGCGGCGGCGGTGCGG